GTTGTTCAGCGTTCTGATGTCTTGGAACTCGCCGCCTGAGCTCGAGGCAGCATCTCCGCCGTTGCCCGATAGCAGCCAGCGCCCTCCTTGATACAGCCCGTAAGCGGCGCCGCCTGCCAGGGCAGCCACGCCTCCCGTGGCCACCCCCGCTGCCATGCCGAGTTAACAGTGAACTATAAAGATATTAATCTTAAGCTTGAGAAAGGTGTTTGAAACCCTCAAGTTGTGAAAATCATCACTGAGCTCGCAGCACTCAAAGGCCGCTCATGATTTTCGCTGCTCACTGCCCTCACATAATCGTCAGACATGATACCCACAGCCAACCTCAGATTCACCTATTCCACCAAAATTGTTTACCTGCTTGCCAGACGTATACGTAGCATCCCACACTGAGGATCTTTCCCTTCGGGTTGAAGTCCAGTTTCGTGAGCCGTTTTTCTGACTCCGGCTCAGCTCCGGGCTGCCAAGAGGTTAAGACGTCATTCCTACAGTGAGACTGAAGCCAGCGCCCCTGTGGACACGTAGCCCCAGCATAGTTGCATACTGTTTTTTAGGATTGCTAGAAGAAGCTTCGTCGTTCATAGGGGCAATTAAGCTGGAGGATCCCCTAGCCCTGGCCGGATCCTAGCCCCTGATCCTTGCACAGGGCGTAGGGCATTAAATGTTTAGGGTCTAGAACCGAATTGCTGGCTGGAACTCGGGGCTTCAAAGGTTGAGAACTTATGTACTGCATGCCTCGCATTATCTGTTCATCGGAGTTTTGTACGCCAGTTTGTCAATTCCTGCCCCTACATCGCCAGACAGAGAGTTTCACAGAGTCTCCCAACCTGGCGCGTGCTTCTTGCTCTTAGTAGGAGAGATCCCAGCGTGAGCCCCAAAACAATCCCAATAATCCATTCCATAAGGCCCAGCTAACAAGCCCAAAGCGTCTAATTACCTATAACCCATGTACCTAAGCAAGTATACAGGAGCCCCTTTGATTCCCAAGTAGTTGTCACAAGGGTACCTGAAGCCTGCTAAGCCAGTTCCCCTAACAATCAACCTCCCAACTCCGCCTGACAATGAAGTGCAGGAGGAATACAGGGGCCTGAATAATTACCAATGCTATGGTGCCATATTCCTTGTATATTTGTAGTATATGGTACCTTAAATGGACCCCAAGATGATATCGGTAATTATTCAGGCCCCTGGAGTATTTTTCATCAGTGGGGCGGGGAGTTTTATTACCCATAATAATCCCAGTTTCCATGTCATGTTCCATTTGATTATCCAGCATTGGGGTACTATCCCTGATATTACCCCAAGGGGATCTACAAGAACCTATATCCCCTGAAACCATTTTCTGCTTCATAGCCCCCATATACTGATTCAAAGTTGAGGGGATCTACAAGAGGCCATAACCCCAGTATAGTCTTAATCTAACACCAATATAGCCGCCAATAGAACCCATATTTAACCCAATGGGTACCTATGTCCCCTATTACCCCCCAGGCTACCCCCAAAACCCCTAAAAAGTAGTTTCCATTTTCTTTTCCAAGCCCTAATATGCTATATTAGGTCGCATTTTCTTTTCCGTTGTCCCTATATAACCCCAACAAAATCTACAAGAGGCGAGAGCCTAGTTTGGAGGAGTAAACGTTGATGGCGCTGCACACTCCGAGATTACCATACCCTTTGTGCAACTGGGCTCACAGTCTGCACCCTCCCTTTCCCAAGGGCGGACTGGATGTAGATAATTTGTAATAAAGCGTAGGGTTCAGGTACTTTGTGGGTTCATGTACTTATGTGTTTGTGGGTTTCTGCCGGAGGTGTCCTCGATTTCTACATTGGAACCAGCATTAAAGCACAAATTTTCAGACTCAGCGTGCTAAAAGGATGATATGACTGGCCGAGGTTTGCCACGTAAGAGGGCTCCAAGAAGACCCGCCCTGGTCAAACACTTTGGCTACACGTCGGTTACAAGCGGGATAGGTGTGGCTATAAGTCCCACGAGTTGGCAACACATTTTCGGATTTCTGCATTTTAATCAAGCAGGGGGTCCCAACCTGTTCAGTTTGAGGGTTTAGGGCTTGGGGTTTTTTGCACCTGAAGCCAACCAGCCTGCCCTGAATACATGCTGTATAAGCCTTGAAGGTGTTGGGTCATAGAGCAGTATGTAGGGTCCATGGGAATGAAGGAAGGAGCCAGAAAATGGAAACTACTGTATTTGAGGGGTTTTAGATGCTACTATAGGGATCCAGTCAGCGATTCCTTACTAACAACCAGCAAGAATCTTGTGCACCCAAGACTTGCAGGAATATCAGATATTCCCTACAGTCACCAACCCATAATGCGTTGATGTGTACACATGTATATGACTGTCAGAGTTTTTTTGAGGGGACAAACTTGCTAATGGGTGGTAGGCCGTGTCCCATGGTAAAACTGGAAGGACCCTTACTGTAACTTCCTCTTCCAATACGAACTGCCCCCAATAGTCAAGGGTCCCAGAACCCCACATCGACACCCAAAAGCCCCCCAAATCCACTGAAGCCCACGGTGTCTAAACCCTAAATCTTAAGACAATCTTCTCATCGATTGTAACCCTTAAGTGCGTGATGTCCCAGCCCTAAATCCTCAACTATGTTCCGTGGGCCGTTTCATGAGATCCTTTCACGTCGCATCCAGCTGAGGTGCTTAGTCCCGTTGAGCTTCGTGAACCTGGTTGAGCGATTAGATAGGGAGTTTGTGGAGATAACGCAAGGCCACTGAAAGTTACTTAGACCAGCAGCAGGGACTGTAAGGGAAGGTCTTTTAGGCATTAGACTGTTGGACCCCTTCTTGCGCGGGCCTTGAGAGCGCATTCCTCAGAATCATATACGAGACCCTTCCCAAGTGATGCAACTCACCATTGCTCCTCAGAAAGAAGGTCACAAGGAAAGCTGCCAGGCATTCCCCAAGTAAAGCAGTAGATAAGGGACAGGCGCGGATGGATGCGACTAGTTTGCTCGCTCATTTTCCTTGTCTACTGCAGGTAGGCCCTGTGCCTGACACGTCCGTTGTATAACGCTACACAGCGGGCAAAAGAAGGTTATGTTTCTTCTTGATCCCACCCAGGAGCATCACTTCCGAGATCCTTACAATCCTGGTGGTGTCAAAGCACCTGAACACGCACGAGAATGGCATCATGCTCTTGCTGGTGACTTTGCATGTATTTTGTGAAGCCACACAGGAGGTGGTAAGCCAGGCAACGCCTTGCTTGCTAGAACGAATTTAGCTTGACACTTATATGTGCCTACAACATGTTGCCAACTGGTGCTGCTGCACAGTTTTGCATGCAGCCTTCTTTCGGTAGGGTTATCTCTCTGGCGCGGCTTGGGAACTTAGAGTTTTAGAGTCCTTGCATGCCAGGTGTTTGCTTCGGCAAGGGTTTCTTTGGCAAATTGATTAATTGGGAATCAGGAGTCCTCTGTTTTGCATTGTTTTACATACAATCCAAACGCATGTGTAAGCAACATTACGCAGGGCCGCCGGAGATACAGCCAGGCAAGAATCTGTCTTGATTTTTTCAATTAACGGACGTTCAGCACTTGTGCAGGTCAGTTCTTGTGTCCTGCCGGATCTTGCGGAGAGTTGAGCATCGGAGGTAGGGTAGAAGTGGTCCAAGGAAAGTGCGTGGTAGATGCAATCGTACGGATGCCTGATTACATCCTAAACAAACCGCGTTCTGCCTTCATGTTCCGGTTTCTGTTCCAGGTAATTATCCTGTAAACCCTTTATGTCCAAATATATTTCTGTACAAGCCCTCCAGTACCCCTAAACCCCAAGCCTTTAAACCCTAATCTCCTAGACCCAGGTACGAGGGACCACTGTGGTGTCCAAGCTATGGCTCCTCGTTTTGGTTTATCGAAGCTCGCGCGAGGAGCGGGCATTCCTCCTGTACCTGGGCTGATATCATGGGGATTATACAGAGCTCGTACAGGCATATATAGAGGCATATAGGGTTGAGTGGGTTAAAACCCAAGCAAGGGAGAATTGAATGGACAAGAAGTTAGGACATGAAATCGATGCTGGAGTTACAGTGGTTTGCAGGGGTCCAGTGTTGCGGGAGATTCCCACTGCTTTGCAGTCTTTTGTTTTTTTTTCCAATGTTAGGGTGATGAAAAAAGCCTTTCTGATTGTCAAAATAGGGGTAGAACGACCTTACTGCCATCATCACTATCCCCTGTGGGTGGTAGTGGGTGAGACTACCACCTAAATTGTAGCCTTTTGAAATATGGGGAGCTTGAGGGGATGTTGGGTGGATTGGACTTCGCAACTGGTAGACACAGTGCTAGTGACCAGGCACCAAGCCCTAACAGCATCTGACCACAAAGGAAGATGATCACAAAGTTTACGGCTTTCCTCTTCTTCTGCGCGATGCCGTTTCGGATCTATTCCCTTGAGCATGCAGGCTCGGCACGAGAAGAACCACAACACAAAACTTTGTTCATACACGCCATTTCTGTAGGTGGTGGCTTCCATCTGTTGGGACCCCCCACATTGGTACCGTTAATTTTGGGAAACCCGAAACCCTATCAACCCCTGTTTACACCCAGTTTCCATGTCATTTTCCAGCGTCGTTTCCACTTCATTCTCCATTATTGAAAATAGAATCCCTAGACCCCAAACCCCAATATAATCCCCCTTTAACCCCTTTTACAAGGACCCTCCATTATTGAAATAGAAGCCCTAGACCCCAAACCCCAATATAGTCCCCATGTAACCCCTTTTACTGGGACCCCGAGTTTCATGTCATCATTAGGCTTTGTCCTTGCCGGCTTGCGCTATGAAGAACTTGTAATGTTCATATAGAATTTGTTTTTAGGCCTTGCATCTTATAGTAAGGTTATATAGGGTATAGAAAAAGCGAGTATATAGGAGTTATATACAGGGAGCACACGAATGGAAAGTCAAATGGACAAGAAATTGGAAAATTCAATGGCAACTGGGATGCAGTAGTGGTTTGTATGGCGTAAACTTCGGATTTTCCATCAGGCTCTCTGCTAGAAAGTGCTCAGCTTGAATATTTGAGCCTGAGCTTGAGGGTTCAGGGTTTATGGTACTGTTGACCATAAGTCCCCAGGTTTCAGGTACCTAGGGTCATGCGGAGCGTTTTAGGGATAATTTAGCATCAACCGTGTTGTGAGCTGCGATTCTTGAACTTGTTCTTATTGCTGTTGTAAGTTTCATTAAGGTTGCTGGTAGCATTCTGGGTCATTATGTACTCATGAGTATGCACGTTGTTATTCCACATTCTCAACTGAATCTTCATAATATCGTCTCCAAAAAGAACGCTCCCCCATAGTGTGCCATGATGCCCTTTGAACCCCCATATGATCACCTCGTGCCCCCCCAAACCTGAATACAAGCCCTAGCCCTGCCAGAAACCCACAGCGCAGCCAGCGTCACGCTGGGTCCGCTGCGTCTTGGTTTAGGGTTTAGGGTTTCGGGTCCAAATAGCCCAATGTAGGTGTTACTTTGAGACTTACAGCCCCAAGGTAGGGGTGTATGCAGAGAAACCGCAAGGAGCTAAAATCAGGACCTTGACTGCCAGAAGGGTGCAAAAAAGGCACCCCTGATGTTGAAACATTGTCAAGGCTAAGAACTTATTTGGAGAAGGGGCCAGCTTGATGTTTTCAATTCTTGCACCTGGAAAGGGCAGAGCAGAGGGTAAGGGTCGCAATGCTTCCATGTCAAATCTTAATCATGGACGGTGACGTTCCGAGATATTTAATCCCTACTAGAATTACTAGAAGGTGGTTGAGAGGGACCCGTAATCTTGGGGACAACCCCCCTATATCCTTGTGAGCCGCAGTGATCGGAGGAGGAAAATTATTCCCATAGGTTGGCGTGAAGAGTTGTGAGACTTTCTGCAACTGGGGGAGCCACTAGAAGCGTCATGCTGAAATCCTGCTGCAATCACATCACAAAGCTGCTGAATTTCCAAGGAATATTCAATCCAGACACATTCCGAGCCTTTAGCGCAAAGAAGTCCTGTGAGAGTGTGCGCAAGGGTAGTGAGGCTTCATTGCGCAGGCCTCATCGAGAATCCTCGCAACCTTACAAAACTTTGCGCGCCATAAGACTGCCTCCCCAACAGCATTCAAGCCTTTTGTTGCAACCTGTCCAAAATGTGCTGCGAAACCTTTCAATGAAGCTCGAAACTTAACCCCAAGTCCTGGAACCTAAATCTGTGACCATCAGCCCAAAAACTCGAACTGCAAAACCTGAAATCCTACTCCAACATCTGAACCCTAAACTCTAAACCTTAACCCCCAAACCCTAACCGCCTAAATCCTAGACCATGTCAGCGAGGTATTTTGTGATGCTCATCGTGGGCTTCTTGGGAATTCCCGGCCTTGCCAGACTTCCTGGTGGCCTTTTCCTCGTACAGGCGCGCTTTAAGGGTTCAGGGTTTCAAGACTTTAGGGATTCAAGGGGCTAGGAGTGTTTCAGCTTTAGGGATATAAGGGTTCTAGGGGTTCAAAAGGTTTAGAGTTTTTTGGTGTCAAGGATTGGAGGGGTTCAAAAGGTTTCAGGTTCTAGGATGTTTTGCGATTCAAGGGTTCAGGATTATCGGGCTGCATGTTTTTTGGGGGGAGGTCCTATTCAGGTTGCCAGGGATGAGATAGATTTTTACGGTTCAGGGTTTGAGGTTAAGTGTCTGAATAAAGTTTAGGGCTTATGGTTAGGGATATTGACCTTCCCGTTCTACTAATCCCCCCAACGCCCTCTAATATCAACATCTTTCAGTGCAGCATCGTGGAGAGGAAAACGTATTGTTCAGTCAGCGGCAGGGATATGACTGACGTGGGGAGGGACTTGCTAGTTTCGTGAAACTCGATTGTTCTCAGTTTGTATCAGGCATGAGGTTCAAGGGTGTGTTCTTTAGCTTGGGTCATTCCCCCACCCAGTAACTGTCCTTAAAGGGGGCCTTACTAAGGGGCTATTATAATTCCTATTACCCCTTGTAGTACAGTTACTGTAAGGGGGAATAACCCAATCTTTAGCCAATTTCCCCAAACGGTGTGCTAACACGAGGGGCCATCGCGTTCGGAGACTCAGCCTGGCAGTCCCAATATGTGCTACAGTCTAAACTCCTTAAAGGGGGTTTTATAGGGGATTATATAGGGAATTACTATAGGGCTTATTAAGGGGGATACTAGGAGTTTAGACTATAGCTCATATGGGGGTTTCGGAAATTCTGGTCCCTTTACTAATGAGCATTATCGTAGGTAGGGGTCTCTGTTGGGGTCCCAAGTTTGCGCAAGCCCCCGCATTTTCTTGAAGCCGGGGTGTGGGGTCGTGCTTAGGGTGGAGATGTGTGCCCCCCAGAGGTTCCAAGAACTAATCCTGTCAAGGTTCCTGAGCTCAACTGCACGTGTCGTAGCACCCTGCTTAGAGGTTCGCAGGCAATCAGAGGAAGTACAGGTGTATTGTACTCACGTGATGTTCTTACTAAAATCGCACATCCCACTACTCCAGGTAGATCCTTGTACCTTCGACTTTGAACCTGCATGTCTTGGGCTCGGGCTTTCGAAATCCTACACTTCTAGAAGCACCTTTCCTCGAAACCACCATCCCCAAATTAGCTCCTAACCAGGGTTCAGTCTTTGCAGCACGCATGCCAACATGAACCCGAAGCCGCTCCAACCCGGCCCAATCCAAGATAGCCCCCTGTCAACAGGATAGTGGTCTTCCTACGGTAGGGCCCTTTTTGGGGGGGTTTCATGCCATTCCGGTCTCCCAGGTCATTCTTTGCCGTGGCTGTGCATGGCCTGGGATTGGGTGGCGAAACATACGCTGCAGGCTCCAAAATTGGAGTTTCCGAAGATCCCCCATGCACCACCAAAACAGTATTCCTACCTGAATCACAGAAGTAGGTAACATGATGGCCCAAAAATCCTAGAACTCATCAGACGGCCATACTTTCGCACCAACCTCTAATCTTCTGAAAAGCCCTTGAGCACATGGACTTCTACAGTTCTTGTACCCTTATGAATCCAAGGTATCCGCCTTCAGGATTTACTTCGGAAAGTAGGGTTTAGAGCTTTTTAGAGTGTAGGGTTCAGCACTCCTACTAGCTACGAGCTGCATTGGCACAAGGCCCAAGCATATGAGCTAGGGTCTGAATCCCACAAAGGAGGGTTATATAGGGGATTATATATAGGAGGGTTTTGAGAGGATATCAAGGGGATACTAGGAGTGTTGACTGTAGCTCATATCAACTTCTTGAACGCTTTGGACCCCATTTGGAGTTTCTATGAGGTCAAGACTTGTGCGCATGATCACAACATCATCAGGAGTGTAGGGTTTTCGATTTTGGGTGAATCATGAGTCACAAGACACCTGCATGGCTGCGAACACTTTAAATGTACAAAATCAAGAGGCCCTTTGGCGTCCTTATTTTCATACCTTCCCTCATGTTTAGAGAACACCACCCCAAAAACACAAAAACAACAAATGGTTATGTTTTTTGACATCTTTCCATATGGAGTCTCGAGAAGTTATTCTTCTGGCTCTCCAGCATTCATCCCCTGAACCCTACACGGTAAACCCCCAAAGCCTACACCCTAAGCACCTAAGGCCACTCGGGCATTACATAGGAGCATTTCAGCACTGCCCCAGTCATCCCAATACTACATTTGGAGGTTCATTATTCCTGTGCTGTTTCTCCTGCCGGTAGTCAGATAGATAGAAATGCATATACTGAAGAACACCTCTTGCAACACGACTTTTGTCACATTCGCAGAAGGGAATGGGCAATCCAAGGGGTTCGGCCGCTTGATATTGTGTTAAGCTCCCCCTCCCCCCGTTAGGCTACTTTTTCTAGCTGTGGCATATGCCTACGGTGGTTAGATACCCCCAATACCCCCATGCCCCAAATCCAAAGCCTTGAACCCAAAGCCCTAAACCCTTAAGCTCCGTAAAGCCTACCCTACACGCTATACGCCCTCAACCCTCAGGCCCCAAACCTTAAAAACTGAGCCGTGAAAGGCCCAAGTGCTTGGAGCCTGCGGGTGACTGCGACCCCTCCTCCTCCAGTCAAGGGGAATCCACCGACTGAGACTGAAGGCTTTCTTTTGGAAGAAGGCTTAGGGTTTCAAGTTCATGGTTCGGGGGATGATACATACTGAGCATGGAGAGCATTTGCAGGGGGAAGCATTGATTTGAGTCGCAGTAGTTACAACTTCAGGGACTTGAAGCTAGATGCTGAGTCAGAAGAATGGATTTTAGCTTTCATCCTCATTACGATGCTTGCTGGGCAACACTGCCTCTTTGGCACGGTCATCCTCCGCTGCGTAGTTCACGGCAAGCGAGTTCTTCCTCACTGAAGGATGCCAGGTAGGCATATCGTAACAGCAGAACATCTTCGTTGCATGTTCGAACGATGGCCATCATCGCCTGCGCTTGCAACGATCAATGGTAAGAAGATAATGCACGACTCCCGTGCTCAAACGCAATACCTGCACAACAGACGCAATGATGGCTGCTGGAATTGGACTGGGTACGTAGGAGCGCGGGCAGCTTTGTAGATTCACCACATTATGTGTAACGCGAGAAACCAGCGTAGCACGAGAAGGCTGCTGTAATCAACCCACCAAAACCTGTGGACATTCCAAAAGACAAGCAGGTATACGATGGCAGCTAGGATAAGCTCGTACGAGCCGTTGTGATTGTTTCACCAGGCATCCATGAGCGGGTCAGGAAGAACATCGTCATTGCCACGTTGTAGTCATTGTAGTCCTGATTGATGAGTCCTGGGCAAAAATTGCCCGCAGGTGTGCTGAGGCTGATGCGCTGCTCAAAACGGGAGATCTGCTGGGTTTAGAGTTTGCTTGCGTTTGTGGCTTCAGGGCTCAAGGTGCTTGATTGACAATGTGCAGTGTTGCCTGGCTTTAAACTGCTGCTTGGTTTGGACCTTGAGAAAATTTTCAGGGTTTGAAGTGGGCAGGGGAGGAGGAGGAGGAGGAGGAGGAGGAGGAGGAGACAAGGCACCACACTTGTGCAAAATCAGAAGGAAGCTCCTACAACCGCGAAGGTCAAGCATGAGTCAACCCTCAGCATTCAGTGATGAAACGTGCTACCCTCGTCCCCTTGCTGGTTACCCCCAAAAAATTGAATAATAGGAGATTACTAGAGGGGATCCTCACGGGGTAGGCGTTGCAACGACGAAGCAAAATCCTCCGAGGTAAGTGGGTTCCAAGCATGGTGTTGTGCGTCGTGTGCTTCGGAAATGCTCTCGCCGCTGCGACTGCAGAATAGAAGCCGCACTTCATCTTTCATTGCATGCTCCTGCCTTTGTAAATAGGAGCCACTAGTGCAACATCTGCAGCAGTCCCATCACAATTCCCAACACGTTGTGATGCTCTGCGCTGTTGTTCTATGTCGTTTTGTTTTATGTGAGATGAACACTCTCATTGTAGGGGTTGTGTAAGGACTGGAGGTCGACCAGCTTTTTGTTCACGAGGGCCAAAGCCGGAGCAAAGGCTTTAATTTTCTATATTAGTATTATATTAGGGTTATGTTGGGGTTATATTTGGGTTATGTTGGGGTTATTTTGGGGTTTGTAGCGCTCGCCTTACTTGATTTGAGCTGACACATGCTGGCCAAGCCCGAAATGCTGAGGCCTATGTCTGCATGGTTGGGGACCTGATTTCTATGTGCCTTCCAGGCGGGGTGTTGCACGCCTACAAATTTCAGCAAGCTTGGTAATTCCAGGATACCCAACAACTTGCATTCAACTGCCCAGCCATGGCGCCGTACACCACACTCCTCATAGACCCTCAACCTTGGATTGCGAAGTCCTGAAACAGCAATTGCAAGCATGCCCTAGAACAAGTAGATGATCATAATCTGGTGGCAAGGCGATGTAGTCTCGTGGGAGCCACCGAAGGAGCCAGGAAACACATTCCTGCTAGGGCTGGTCTTGTCCTCATGCAGTATACACTTTTCGAAAGAACAATGCTCAAACCCTTGCCTCTGCGAGTTCTTAGAATTATCTCAAGGTACTACTACATTTCAGAGGGGACAGACTTAATACAAATGGCTATGTACCGTTCATAGCCTGCAAGTTTGCCAAACTGCTTCCGGGACCCTAAAACCTCAAACCCTAATTAGTAGTTTCCATTTTCTTTTCCATTATCCCATTATAACACCCATATGCTTTAATAGTTTCCATTTTCTTTTCCATATCCCAATATATGCCCTATGTAACCCTATATAACCCCTAGAACACCCCTGAATCCCTGGTGCATCTCAGCTTGCCACCCGAATAGTCGGTCAGGCCCTAAATCCTAAATAGCAGTTTCCATTTTATTTTCCATTATCGCAGTATTACCCCTATATAACCCTATATAGCCCCTATAACACCCCCCCCCCCTCCCCCCTACCCCTATAACAACCCTCCAAACCCTGGTGCTTTTCAGGTTTCCATTTCCTTGTCCATTATCCCAGTATATTCCCAATATTACCCCTATACTATAGTAGTTTCCATTGTGTTTTCCATTGCCATTATAGTCGTTTCCATTTTGTTTTCCATTACCATTATAGTAGTTTCCATTTTCTTTCCTATTATCCAAGAGTCGGTCAGGATTTGGGATCAGCTTCCTCTCCCGCTCGTCCTGCATCGCAATCTTGGCAGTCTCACGGCCATATCTTGGGTAATGGACAGAAAATGGAAACTATTCAAATATTGGGGTTATATAGGGGTTTATATGGGGGGTAATGGAAAAGAAAATGTAGACTACTATAATAGTGGGGTTTCTTATACTTTGGGAGCTCGACAGAAGAAAGATGCTGGCATTTGGCTCGCTTTTACAGGGAAAAGTGGTCAAGCTTATCAAAAGGCCCGACTTCGTGGTGACCATGTTTTCTTCCTGCAGACCTTTGTTCCGTCACATGCATTTCAGATGCTGCTATAACCAGCATTCCTTAGGACCTCAAGCCCTCCAAAGGTGATATGAGCCAATTTCAATTACTGTTTAGACAACTTGGTCTGTGCGGTCGCTGCTGCGCAAACATCCCCAAAATCGATAGTGGACGTCCTGAAACAACAGGCAGAGTCATCTAGACTAGAATATCCAAGGAAGAGCCCTAAACCTGGAGATCGATAGGGGACGCCCTGATTAATTCAAAAACCAAGCGAGGCCAAGCAATAGTTTTAGTAATTTTGACGTCACCTCAGAGGGATTTTGTTGGCAAACTGTGTTCGAGGCAGCTAAGTCTTTGGTTGCCACTGCAGGGATTCCTGCACAAGCAGGTCCTCAGAAAGAAATTATCGAGAATCATCCCGCCTGCTCATGTGCAAGGCATTCTGGCCACCTCCCGATGCTCAATACCCCTTTGTGAGGAGAGTCCCCGTAAGGCGCCTGCCGGTAGGGGGCCTTGACAGAATCCCTGAAGCAGCCTGCGTGCAAGGGGCCTAGAGAGGCCTTCCCATGATGCAATCCTCGAACCGAGTAGAGTCCTCCTTCCTCCAGGGCTCCAGGGCCTGTAGCTGTATGCTTTTCAATCCCGAATGTTTCAACTCGTTCATACAAGCATATCCTGATGTGGGAGTTTCTTTCCGGCTGCTCCTGCCAAAGTACATAAGTAAACCCGTGAGTTTCTCGGCTTGAGAAACTCCCGCTGCGACCAACCGCCCCCAGCTGTGGCAACGTTTGCCTTCCCGCACGCCTGCACGCATGCTGGGCCGACTGCAGCACTCGGGTATACACCAGGATATAGCTGCCCTTGTGGGAGGTACTCCAAGAACGAAACTTGCTGTTTGGTCTATATAGAGACCCTTATTTGGGCACATGCTCGTCCCAGGTGTTCCCTCTGCTGCCCCTTTGCATGTTGCGCCGCGGTGGCAATTTCAGTTTCTGTCGGTGCTCGCTCTGTTAACTTATGTACTTAGACTTACGATGTGCATGATGATCGGAAAATCTGCAAGCATGTGGCTGGTTCACTCGCCAATACCTTCTGACTCCGCTTCTGACTCATTGAAGCAAGTATTTCCACCCTCCCCTGATCGCATACAATAATTTTCAGCTACTCCGCTTTTCTTTTGGTTCCGGGCTTGCATTCTTCCCACCCTATATTCTTGCAGCATACGGTCAGGACCCTGGCTTAGCCAAAAGATGAGGCTCAAGGCTTTATATTGAATGTTCATCCCCCAATATGTACAATAATAGATTGTAGTAGCTTCCATTTTCAAATCTTATCCATTATCCCAAGATATCCCCAGTATTACCCCTATGTTATAGTAGTTTCCGTTTCATGTTCCAATACCGCTATAGCAGGTTCCATTATATCCCCAATGTTACCCCGTATATCCAATTATAGTACTTTCCAGAAGGAATGGGAGGTTCAGAGTATGGTCCCTCTTAAGCAAATAAGATCTGGCTTTGGGTAAATTTTAATATAGTCCCCCGTTAAGTAGATAGGGTTTAGGGTTTGGGGTTATAGTCCCGCCCTTAAGTAGATAGAATATGGAGTATATGATTGGGGTTATATAGGGATAATGGAAAAGACAATGGAGACTACTATTTCATAATAGGGTATATATGTATATATATATATACATATTCGGGTTATAGTTCTCCCTTAAGTAGATAGAAGATGGGTATATGGGGATCTTATTATGATATGCCCACAGCCATGTTCTATTTACTCAAGTGGGACTATGAGTGTAAACCAACTGCAGCCCTATTGGGTGACTAGGGGCTCGTATTTGGTTCTCAAGTACGCTCCCCCAAACTAACGTGGAAACCCAAATTGTCCCCTTTTAGAAGGACTGTAGTATTTATAGGGCCCTTTTTGGGTTTCCATGTTAGTTTCCGGGAGTGTACACTTCTTAGTCTGCGGAACCTCCAAGAAGGCCAGACAAACCAAGGAAGGACCTTTCGGCTTTGGCTCCAACTTCCTTCCTTGCGTTGCTGGCTGTCTTCTGGATGATCATCATGACGCCCGCGTCTGCAATTATCTGCAATGTAGTGACGAGGTCGTTCTGTACTTGGGCTTGGTTCGAGGGCTACAGGGACTCACCCACGGACCATTGATCGTTGATCGGGTTTGATGGCCAACGCTGGTATCAAGAAATGCCTGACGCCTGATGAGGTTCTTGGCGCCGTGAGGTGGCGACCCCCATAACACAGTACATGTTGGTTGTGAGCTTCAAGTTCCTGCATCTTGAACGTTAACTAGCGGGCTGTGACATCGCAGCCAGAGCTGTTTCAGACCTGGGCACTTGCAAGCAGCTAATTTCTGAACGTTCCGTAGTACAGAGGTTTGGTGGGCATCGAGATTCCCAGCGGGTGGCAGCCGTGAGAAGTGTCACTTTGGAACACCCCAAAACCTAAACCCCTACGGTTTCGGGCTTAAGCCCAAACCCTAAACTGCGCGGGCCACGAGAGGTACATGAGGTCATCCTGCATTCTTGGGGTCAAGCCACCTTCTTGTGGAGCATGAGTTATTGAGAATTAGCAAAAGGCTTAGGGTAGGGCATGCATATATGGCGGGTTGTCAAAATTATGGTCCTTTTTTGGGTACCCTGAATATTAGGGGCCGTTTATAATAGGGATCCAAATAGTTTTGACAACCACCCATATACATATATATATATATATATATGTACAATACATATCTGTATACATGGGAGTTATCTAGGGATCTGGCGAAGAGCATGCCACATTGAACCACAACTGGTATTTGATTTACGGACTTGGGATGCGTAGGGGCTTCCAAATTAGGAGTCCCTTTTCGGAGTCCCTAGTTCAGGGATTATAGTCTTTGGGGAAGCCAAGTACTTTGAAAACGCGCCCATACCAACTACCAATTCTGCATACAAATCCCTGCGGCCACCTCCTTGTACTGTGTTGGTCCAGAATTCTGCGGAAGATTTGGGTACTGTTCTCCATTCAGGAAGAGCTAGCTGATATGGATTTCACTTTTGTAGTTACATCTCTAAATATATATATATATATACATATAGATAGAACCCCAAGCATTATTCCTATTAACGACTGTTAGTTTCTAGTACAGTATCCAAGGTAGATTGATTGGAGGAGATATTGCGTTACTTTTCCGAGTTGGGTCTAGATTCTAGACTCTAGAATTCAGAATGTGAGGTGGAAGCTTTGCAGCTTAGAGGTTGGCATTCAAGCTGCAAGATGTCCGACTTGAGGTTTTCAATTTGAGGTGTAAGATTTTTGGATGTAGGATGTAGGGCTTGGATTTGAGATCTATTGCGGGCTCTGTCTTCTGACAACTATGATTCCTGTAAGGCTGTACGGAATAATATGGTGGATCAAAATACCAGCTTCCACGACGATACAGATTATGCATCTTCAGGACGATTATGAGAATATCGCGCCAAGATTGCACGGCCAATGAATGATCCTATTCAGAGCGGAAGCACTGCGCAAATCCTAAACCTGATATCTTACAAGCCCTAAGCCGTTTTTGTGTGGAGCCTGGCTGAGGATGGTCATCCGTTACACGGACGGTTCCTACCTGCCAGGCTTGGTAACAGAGATGATCTCTGTGATGTTGTTGGGTTTGTGGGTGGGTGTGGATTTGGGATGTTTTGCTTCCTTTCGAGGGATGAGGGCTCGGGGCCGAGGATTGCAGATTTCAGGCTGTTGGGTTTTAGCTGTGAGGGTTTAAGGTTAAAACTTTGAATGGCTTGGGGAGGACTGCAAGGTCCTCAGGGGTTGCGAATTACTTTCGGCAAGTAAGGATAGGCTTCTGAAGGTTACGTGTTATGTTGGGTATTATACAGATCCAAAGAGCAGAAGTCTAACCGACCTAGGATGGCCCTTACGGGTTTTATTCGGAGCGTATCAGCTTTGAACAGCAATCTTTGGACTTAGCCGACTTGGCCAGTTGTCTTGCTAGCCTGTAGTTCTGCAGAACATTTTAGGTTTTTGTAGGATTTTTACGGATTTGGCATTTTACTATTACCAAATATTCATGATTTGAGATACAGGTACAAGAATTAGGGTACACAGATGTCTTCCACAGCAGCTTGGCAATCAGGACAGGCAAGGCAAACAAATCCCCAAAGGCAGTCGTACCCAGATGCCAGCAAATGGACTCCAAAGCCCATTATTGTGTCAAGATGGGCGCATGCACCAGATTCATGGGGGGACTTCGTACCCTAAACCCTAGGCCCTAAACCCTAAGCCCCTCATGGGGGCACTTTGTAAAGCGTCTTGGCTTTCAGCTTTCCAGCTTCGAGCCAAGGCCTGCGCGGTTTTCATTGCACATATGCAATGCAACCCGAGGATTGCCAAGTGTAGTCTCCGCAACGAACGAAGCGCGCGCCTCCAAACCCTCCAAGAGACACAGCCTGTAAAGCATGACATCTTCAACACCTGTATACATTTTGTGAGCAGAGGTGGGCTTCTTAGTTGCCAAATATTCCTGTGGCTACTACATTCTCCATAATATGATAGACCTGCTTGGTAACTGTGGCACATGTCTCTGAGCAACTTCAAAAGCAACCACCACACCAAGGAGCCCTGAATCATCTGGCAACAAACAAATGCCTGCAACGCCTTTTTCACACTGTTAGGGGCCTAGGGACTTGTTGGAACACCGACCCATGCAAGCCCTGTGAAAACCCCTGACTGACTCCAAACGATGCAAACCGCAGAAGTTTTTGTGCCGGAAATGCTAAAACGTTAAATAGTAGCTTCCATTTTCTTTTCCATTATGTACCACTATATAACCCCATATTTTCCCATTTATATTAGGGGGCTTATACCCCTACGTAAGATCTGAAGCCAAGAGCTCAAGCGGGTTCAGGCTCCCTCCAGTCTAGACCATGGGCCTTAAACCCTCAACCCAACATGCAAAACCCAAACGATAGGGGTTTAGGGCTTTGAGGGGTTTACTTGGCCTGGTCCTCAGTTCTGGATTCAAATTTCACTTAGGTGCTTCTTAGAATGAGGGCTTCTTTCTGGGAGTTCCAATGATTGGGATTGAAGTTTTATAGCGTTTAGGGTGGGTGTAGAGCAGGGACCCGAATCTAAAATCCTAATTCCCGACGACACACACTTGCCCCAGGTGGACAGTACCATGGCTACCCGAGACCTAAGGGGCATGCCAAGAACTCAGCTGAGGGGCTCCGAGGGTATGCTGCTAAACCCTAAACCTCAACCCTATAAACCCTAAACTTTCTAAACCCTGAACCCTATGAACCCTAAACCCAATAAACCCTAATTAGGGGCTAGGGGTTGGGACTAGTCAGGTTTTGAGGCTGATCTAGGTGTATAAGGGTTCGTAAGGGTTTAGGGTTCAGGGCCTACCGTGAGGGTTGAGGATTTAGAATTTAGGGCTCATGAGGGCTTAGGGTTTTGGATCTTGGTTTAGGGTGAGGGTATGCTGTTATTGTTCAGGGTTAGCATGGAGATACTTACCTCTGCTGACTAGGAAAGGAAGGAAGGCAAAGAAGAGCATGGAAAGAACTGGGTTATTGAGATTATTTAATTACACACTACCATTATGCCCGAAACCCTTACTGCATTCCCTGTGAATTGCAGGTACGAGATGCGCGGTTCAGGCTTGGGCTTTAGGGATGTAGCCGTCCTCCTAATCACTGATGATCCCCAGAGCCCTGAACCCTAAACCCTCAGCAGTAATAATAGTAATAATAATAGTAATCATAGTAATAGTAATAATAATATTCTTAGTACTACTCTAGTAATACTACTGTAACAGTAGTAATAGTAATAATTCTGCAGTCAGACATCTGCATGTTGGGTTTTGTGCGACGCAAGTGCCACCCCCGTACCTCAGCCGGAAAGAGGAGGCGGATTGCAGGCCAGAAGCTTTGGAGCCAATGCAGACACATGGCTAAAGGCATACCTGAACCCCACAAGTATGTAGAATAATGGCCTTTATGGTTATTTCTAGTGGTTTTGGGCTACTATTTTACCAATTTGGGGAGGTTTAGGTAGTGCTGAAGGTTGAGGGTTTAGGATGGATACAGCTTCGCGCGGCAGCAATAATGAGCTTGAAGTCCAAAGATTTTTTGCAACACTGAGCTCGATGCTCAAGGTGGTAATCCAGGTGATAAGGACAGGCCCCAGACTTTGTGAAACCTCCACATGTTGATCACCTGACGCTGTCCCAGAATAGCTTTCTTCGCAGGATCCTGGGATTGCTAAAAAAGCCACCTGCTCTGAGAATATCAGCTTACTTGCTGAGATGCGGGGGCTTTCGGAGTCTGAAGCCCCTAGATCTACTATACCAAAACTCAAACGCCATAGAAAAACACAGCAAGGTTGTCAGGTTGAGAAAGTATGTAGTTTAGGGGACCGCCATGTATTGGTATCGGTGTAAACAACAGTGCTGAGGTGGGAAACATGGGCTTCTCCACCCTGATTTTAGTGGACAACCTGGCGGTAGCATTTCTCTGCCTGCGGCCCAGCGCCTCACAGGGCTTCCAAATGGCTTCTTTTGACGGGAAGCCTTTAAGCAACGAGGAGCTGCAAACGTTGGGGTCTGGTTCAATAACAGGAGACCTGCCGGCTTTATCCTTGGAATGTTGCAGAAGATGTTTCGTGAGTAGCCTCAGTAAGACCAGGACCTTTGCTGCTACACTGTAGCCATTAAAGCATGCTAGGAGGGATCTATCCGGGTGCAGGCTTGTAGTTTGCCGGTACTTGTTACGGCTTGCCTGCCCAAAGTATGCAGAGAACAAAACCCAACAGATGGAACTCGGATGGAAGGTAACCAACCGGAATTAGAGGGTCCGGGATTTTACTGTAGCCTTTTTGCGCCCCCCGGATGCGAGCTATGGCAATGCCAGCTGAGTCACTAAAAGGCAGCGTCGAGCAGGTCCTATCCCACCAGCGGGAGGCAGTTTTGGCGCGTGCGGTGTCAAGCCTGCAGAGGGCAGCAGCGGAGGTGCAGAAAGCTGCAGCTCATCTATCAGCTTGTGAGGCAGCATGGCTTGAAGCTTACGAGGCCGCCCTCCAGTCAGCTGAGGATGAGGTTGAAGCTGGTGCGGTGAGGAGGGCGGCAGCAGATCTCAAGCCTCAACCAGGCTTGGGACTCTACACGCTACGCACCTTCCACGATGAGTTTCGGGGAAGTCTGCCAGCTGCCGAGGCATTGGGCCATGAGTCAGATGCAGCCCACGGGCAGCATCATGATGAATTTCACACGGCAAAGCATCAGCTGGAACATCGCTGGATAGAAAAGACGGCCTTCAGTGCAGCTGAGCGTGTGCTTGAGCGAATGACGGAGCGGATGAGTGAAAGCATCGGTGAGCGGGTCGGCGAGCGACTCGCGGAGCGAGGCGTTGAACGCCTTGCCGAGAGGGGTACCGAGCGCCTGGCCCAGCGCGGCGTCGAGAGGCTTGCCGAAAGAGGCGCTGAACGACTTGCTGAGAGAGGTGCAGAGCGGCTTGCTGAGAGGGGTGTTGAACGCTTGGCAGAGCGCGGTGTTGAGCGCCTTGCCGAGCGCGGTGCCGAGAGACTGGCTGAAAGAGGCGCAGAGTTGGCCCTGGAGCGTGCTGGGGCCAGCGCTGTGCGGCACATCCTGGCGAGGACCATCGGCGAGGCGCTGAGAATGGGGGAGGAAACGGCTATGCATGCGCTGAAGGCTTTGCGAGTGATTGTGCCTTTTGTCGGGATGCTCTTTGTGATTCACCTGGCAGAACATGACTGGCACCGCTTAGGGGAGGAGTGGAGGGCCCGACGTGCTCTCTCCCTGCTCTTCTTCAGCTTGGCCGTCCTGGGCGACTTGTCCTTGAATACTCTGGCAGCGGTTTAAGCCACTCGCATATTCGTTTTGTTGTGTCTCTGTAGCTTAGTCAATATATGCTTGACCAATATCTTCAGCGCCTCTGCCACCTCCCGATAGAGGACTCCCACATGTTTCAACCCTTTCCACACAGCATTACAGGGTCCTTCTTGCAAGGACTCAGAGCAACGCCTCATGCTCAGATGTACCCCCCCCGCCAGGTGACATAGCAGACATCCTTTGCCATGTTTGCGTGATTTCCTCGGGCATCCTCCATGTGGACCACGAGGCTTTGCACGTGATTGAGAAGCTTGCTGGCAACCCTATACTGTAGCGGTGGTACTGAGAGTCATGACAAAACTACTGTAGGCGCCTAGTTCATGACCACTACTATCAATTCGAGGTGTATTTGAGGTATCCCGCAGTGTCCTCTGCCATCAGTATACAAAGAATTTGAGAATGTAGTGTTAGCAATTATTAAGGCCTCCGTATTGCCAGATGTAGTGCTGGTAACCTTGACGTGAAATGACGTGGAGGTATGTTGATTATGCAGGTTCATGCTTTGCTAGGACCAGTGGAATGCACAACTGAGTAACTGAAACAGGCCAGGAGGCCAGCACCCGCGCCACTTGACAACCCTGAACGCTAATCAGCTTCACTGCCGGCAACGAACCATGCCCCGGGCATCCGGGAGCACAATTATGCTCTTTGGACATCTTGGCCCTGTGGCCCTGTGTTAGGATGCAGCCTCCGAAGCTAGCTGCAGCTAGATCTGAGACACGCCTCATGATGATTGCCTGGGCCTTTGGAACTATATTACAGTCCCCTGGCCAAACATGCAAACCCTCCTTATGCGAATCCAGAGAAGCCCACACGACGAATCAGGATGCAAGCCCCAATGCAAGATCTGGTGGGGCCCGAAAGTCGTGTAAACATACAGTGCCCGTATCGGGCAAGTTAAGGCTTGGCCGAAGGATACAGCCCCCACCTTACACCAATCCACCAATGTTGTCATCGTTGTCGTGTTAGACACCGCAATAGAAATCCTAGATAGAAGATGGTGTTAGTTTATGGTGTTGGCAAGATCCAAGGTATTATGGCATGGCTTCCGCCATCGTTGCCTGTCTCTCCGTGGTAGCTGCAGAGATCACTTCCGCCCGTGCCATGCGAAGGGCGCTCAAGGCCCAGGACTGTGGTTAGCCTTGCCTTTGGTCAGCTGGGAATGAAGGAAAGGAAAAGAGAATGGAAAGTACCAGAGGGATTATAGAGATTATGTAGGGTTTAGGGTTTAGAAGGAATGGAAAAGAACATGGAAATTATTGTAATGGGTTATATAGGGACTTAAAATGCATTCCTTCATGTTTAGCTAACCAAAGGTAAGTAGCAAGTCTACCAGAAATACTGGGCTGCCGTTGAGGAACTTAAATTTAAATCAAGTCACCATATATTAGATACAGTGCATGCGGGTTTCTGCATAATTAATGGCAAGTTCCTCGACAGCAACCCACAATGTTCAAACAGATCAGCGGTAAGTTGTGGTAAGAGCAGTTGTCAATGAGGCCCGGACAAATTTTGACATCGTTCTTTCGAGCAATCGAAGTCTCCGCCCCTGATAGCGCATGGAAGTTGGATGGGTCCATTTTTGCAGGGTTTAGGGTAGCAGCACGAGCAAGACTCGGAAAACCTCTTGCATGCTATTCCCCCCCCACCCCTCACCCCAGCATCCCTAATTGCACCCAAGTGTGAGAAGCCCCATCTTGTCTCGACGTGCAGGCACAGGCTACGCCTTCATTGCATGTGGTGCCCCTGGCTGTGAGTGAAGAGAACGCATAGCCTCCGGAGTCTCGGGTTTGGACTGGGCAAATTATAGCGACCTCACCCAAAAACGGAAAAGTGTTGTTTGAATAGAACATAGTCCCAAATCGGCTCTCTTCCAGGTTCTGGAACTTTAAAAGTGAAAGTTCGGATAGCATGATGCTTCCTGCAATCTTGGTCATTGTTGGATCTGCTTTCTTCTGCTAAAGGTTGTCATAAGTCTCCAAAAGGAATCAGAAGCACCCTTAAGGGGCAATCTCAGGCTATGGTCAGCTTTTGAAACCACATGTAACAGCCTTTTTTCTTCGAGAGTTATGGAGGCAGAGGGTTGTTCGGGTCAGGGATAGTGATTCCACAAAAGCTGCCCAAACCCGGATGACTTTCGAGGGCTCGATGAACGCAATGCCGTTCTCCATGCCAGCCTGCTGCTACCATACCGTTGATACTAAAGTTACTACAGCTCCTGCATGACATTAGTACACTAGAATACCATAATTCAAGAGGTATACATTATAATATATCTATATGTATATATGTATATATATATATATGTGGTAGGTCGGGCCATTCAGGATTTTTACGATCAACGGTAGTTCTGCGTGGGTGTTGCCACAAAGATGCCCGCACGAAGCGAGCTTCACTTGAAGCCTAAAGGCGGGCATGCAAGCACTCAGTGCCAAAAAAGTGTTGAGCATTCTTGTTATGTCTTGCAAGCATGGTAGCCCTTGCGGACACCCAACTTTTGCATCCCTGGAGCCTATGATATGTGATACAGTAGTCATGCGGTCCAAAATCGGGGAGGGTCGGCAAAGACCCATTCAAGCATCACGGCTTTGAGCAAGGTACGTAATGCGTATTATGAAGGCTGTTCGCTCGATTGCTATTATTTGGGGTTATTTGGGAGGTCTGGGTACGCCCTATGTTTTGTCGTGCTCGTTGGCCCGGCACCTCGAGGTAGAGCATGATGCCCCAAAGCGTCCATGTAGCTATATACGCTATATAGTCTAAGCTCCTTAAAAAATAAAAGGGGTATATAGGGGATTATAGAGGGGAGTATAAAAGGGCTTATTAAGGGGGATACCAGGAGTTTAGACTATGGCTCCTCTGGGGGTTTCCCAAATCAGGGAAACCTTCTTTGGGGTCTCCATATCACGGGTTGTAGTATTTAGGGTCTAGATTGGGGTCAACTAGTTCAGGGAAATGACTATATCGCAGAAACCTCGGCCCTGGGGTAGGTACTTGGAAAAGCCCAAAATCTCGGGCACTACGAAGATGCCATGTTATGCCAAAAGGGATCTTTTGGCGTTGATAACTAAGCGCACAAAGCCTGCCAGAGCTTCATGCACTGCAGGCCACTACAACGGACCCAAATATTACCGAGAGCGCTGACCTCAGGAAGCGCTTGCTTGAAGCTTCTGGAGATGTTACAAAAGGTTGGATCCGGACGTAGTTTTGCGGCCTTTGGATACATCAAGAGAGTTTAGAATTTGGAGGAAGAGTCAGTGCTTTGGATGACAGGTGTGGGTCAGGCAAGGCATGGAAGTCTCCTTGGACGGTGGGAACATTGGCAAGTTTATCGTCACTCAGGCATTTGGCATTCACCCTGCCTGCGCGCACTATCGCTCAAACTGCCTAAACCACTTCTGCAGGAAAGCTTTCTATATACCCAATATGAGCCCCTTCCGTCAACCGTGTAAAACGGTTTCACAATCTGTAACAGACAAGCTTCAGTAAACACCTATAGTTACAATTCCGCAAACCCCATAACATAAGTCCGACTATTCCCCCGGTGACTGAGTTTCCGGGGCTTCTGCATTTAGCAGCTTTCCCATCTGTGACCCCAATTTCAAGGCACCTCCAGTCCGCAAATTTTAATTTTGCACCCTGTGTGTTAAGCCTAAGCCATGCATTTACCACACTCCCTAAACTGTGAGCACTCAAGCCTAGATTGCTGAAGTGAAGCCAGGAGGCTACCTCCAGGGTGTCTATAGTTAGATCCTATATGAAACTCAAAAACTTGGACGTAAACCAAAACCTTTCCATATAATCCTAGCGGATGTCATTTTTGGATGATTCTGGGGGGCCTGGATTTGAGGTGCAGAAAATGGTAGGATGCATTTAGAGGAGGGACCTGCCTCAAACCTCCCATTTGAGGTACAAGGGCCATCGACCTGCTCGCTTCGGATCTCGAGTGCTCACTGCCTTCAGCCTTGTCTCCACTTTGTGGCTCGGCCCAAGGAGAAGGATGGGCAAGATGGAGGTGCAAGTAGCAACCCGGGGCAGATAAAGAGTGGGGGCTTTAGAGGTGCTATGATCACTTGGACTGTAAGAGCAGCTCAGGACCTCAGGAGTTTACACAGGTTGCGCATTTGGTTCAAAGAGTTGTTTGGCAAATTTCGATCCAGCATCCTTCATCACGAGCTGCGCCCACGAGTGTCTTGCAGGAGAGGCATGATCCTTGGCTGCTGTATAAGCTGGTGTGTCGTCATAAGCACTCTTCCGAGGTATTTTACGCCAGAGCAGGGATAGTGTATCTAGTTATTGGTTGTCTTCATGCATGCTCGTATGAATGCTTATACAACCTTTGCAGTCCTTCTAAACCTTTTGCTTCACTCCAGCCAGCACCACAGGCTGATTGCCAGGAATCCAAGGTTGGATCTTGAGATTTTAGGGTCTTGAAGCCTTCCCGGCGTAAATAATGAATAAACGAATCCCCTACCGCACACGAGATAGCGTTCAAGCAATGAACTTTACAGGTCGACTCCAAGACTGCATGGAACGTCCTTGCTTTCAGAGCCTTCATGTTTTGAGTCCGAGTTTGATCTTCGAATAGAAGCGAAAAAAGCTTGGCGCATGCTTCTTGACTCGGATGAATAGCATGCATGGTACACATCTTCTTGAGGAGCTGTGGAAGTTCCGAAAAATTCTGAGTGGTGACCTGAATACTCCCCTTCAATTCCTAGCTAATGCTGGGATCCTTGACTCAGGGTAGCCCCTTTTTTGCAGAAGCCCGTGTATGATCTGTTGGTAAACACTGAGGGTGAACCCAGGATCCCTTGCTAAAATTGGAATGCAGAAGCCCAGCTTCGTCCAAGACAGCATCCCCTGCCCTGCAGTTACATGAGCTAGAGTCTAAACTCCTTAAAGGGGATCATATAGGGGTGTATTATAGGGGCTATTAAGGGGGATACTAGGAGTGTAGACTATAGCTCACATAAGAAGCAGAGGTTCGCTACATCAATGCTGCTGGGCTTTGCCACCTTCGGAGAGCATGCCGAGGGAGTGATCCTCAACAACTACGAAGCCTCGGCAGCATATGTTCCGCAAACGATCTTGTGAACCGGATTTTAGATTTTGTTTTAGTTGCAGCTGGGGAGTATATGTTCCATATGTAGGTATTCACAAAAGAGCATAACCGTTTTGGGGCTATCAGGATACGCGGCATGTGGGGTACTTGGAAATGACTCAATGTCTTTGTCATGGGGTTGTGGCTGTGTATGTTTGCAAGTGTGGCTAGCTTCAAATATTGGTGGGAGTCTTTGAAAGAGTTGGAAGATGTCCGACTTTTTCTTGTTTGAAGCACCCCCCCCCCCAAACAACTCGAGTCATTCCTTTGCATCTGATGCCGCCACGTCCATGGTCGGGCCGGGCGGGGCAAGCAAGCCTAGGTTTCTTGACAGGAAATGAGGGCATACGAAATCCCTATCGACCTTTCTTGTATCCTTAATTGGGGATATATGGTCCCTAATAGTAGCTACTTAGGCCCTAACAGAGGGTAGGAGGAGGGTCTAGGAATACTCCCAGATTCTCTACTTACTAAGCATCAGTAAGTTTAAGTGAAATCAAAATCCCTGTAACTGGGATTCCGAGCCTGAAGCCTTTTCATTCTGCTCCCGGACCTTTACGAGCTAACGGACAGGGGGACCTACAGAGGGATGCGCAGGGGATTCTTCAGCATGTACCTTCGTTTCCTTGTACACCTCCTGGCAAATCTAGCGGTCCTGGCTGGCAAGCTTTCTGGGTCTTACATGGCTTATGCGACGTTTATCGAGGTAGGGGTGCCATTTTGCTTACTGTGGGCTAGTGGGAATCAGAGAATATACTATACGGGGATTATATCGGGGGTTATCTTCCCGTCTTCCCTACTAACCACCAGTAAGAGAAGCTAAACCAAAAAAACAAGTAGGTTCCTTGTTTAAGAAATCCCTGTATAACCCTAGATTATACCCTCTATATTTCCTTATTCCCTACTAACCACTCATAAGTTTTTGAGCCGCCTAGTTGTGAGCTGCTTACCTCTACACCAACTTTTAGGTCCCCTTTAAATTGAATTGCTTACTTAGCCAATAACAGAACTTTAAACTTCTTTTTGGGATTCCTTTCTGGGTCTCTATAATACAGTTCAACCTTTTTTAGCCCTGGCTATTGGGGAAGAGAGATTGGGATTATAGGGATATGTAGGGTTCTGTGCTCTGTTAGTTTTGTTTTGGCAGTCCATGAAGCCCAGATGGAAAAGGGGTAACAGAAACTTCCTGAAGCTGAAAATCCCACTCAGGATGACAGCGACATGCTTGCAAACTTTGCGCGGCTGGGCATGGGCTTTGCCAACGTATTCAGTACCCAGGCCGTTTTGGTGTCCAGTCTCCCAGGACAGTATACTGATTAACTTCAAAATCATGCTTTTCGTGGGCACCTAGCGGCTTCCCCAGGGTTCCATGTCTATACGCCGCATACTTCAGGCCTAGACCGTTTGCAGCCCGAGTGTCTCCCGTTTGGATTCTTGGACCAGTCAGGTCTTTACTTATAAAGAAGGTGCACCACATGTTATCTTCCTAGCGCTTAATGAACAGCCTAGGTACGCCGCTGATGTTTAGCGGCCTGCGTGCCCTGACATGCAATCAGCCCATGGTTGCTTCACAAACCATGACATGGAAGCTACTATATTGGTCAAGGTTTATGGTTAGAGTAATGGAGGTCCACATGGGAAATTACACATCTATAAATAGATATGTGTGTGTGTATATATGGAGAAAAATGGAAACTACCATACATAAATATATATCTATCTATTTATACCCCCACAAGGCATATACAGATCTACGTCTGATTGCCTGCAGCAAACTAGAAGCTGCAGAAGAACAACGGGAACAATCGACAATTCTTAGTAATACATACAAGCTTGGCACTTGGTATAGATCTTTAGCACGCCGCGGCTAAAAAACGAGTGGCAGAGCCCGAACACAGGGCAAGAGACAGACTCACAGAGAGAGAGAGAGAGAGAGCTTGCAACAGCGACAGCGTGAGCTGAGGTAAAAAACAGGTCATGAATTCTCAAAAGTCATTGCGGAGGGCTGTTGGTAGGGGTACATAGAATGCGTGGTACGGGCACAAACGCTTAGCCGCAATGCACATCAGATGGCAAATCAACTCCACGGCACCGGGCTCGCGGCTTAAGACTTCACCTAAGCCTTCGGCCTCAAACCCCCGCACCCTAAGAAGTTCTAGTTGAAGACACCTGCACGCCATGAAGCGCCCAAGCTCAGCGCAGAGACCGCGCTTTTGGACAACCTAATAGCCATAGCCTACTGGTACCAAGCTTGCTTTTCTCTTGCTTTTGATTACAATCCCTGGCTACATCCCCCATCACTGCCCAACAGGTTGATGCCAGGGGGCTAATCAGCCCCAACCCCAACTTGGATTCTGCCCCCAAGTCTGTAACAGCTGGAGATTATGTATAAAACGGTTTTATCTAGCCCTTAATATGACCCCCAACATAGACTGCTACCGGGGGGCCCTAAACCCTAAATCCTAAATCCAAGAAACATCGAGGCTTCGGGCTCCAAGCCAAATCGGGTCTCCACCCTTTATGCACATATAGTCCTGCTTAAATAGATAATGTACGATTCATTGTTTAGGGTATAGTTTCGCTTAAGTAGATAAGATATGGGGCATATGGAGAGCTTGTTATGAGTTAGGGTTTAGGGTATAGTCCCGCTTAAGTAGAGGATATATGGGGTATATGGAGACCTTGTGCTGACTTCGGGGAATTGCCATATCTACTTAAAGGGGACCGTCGCTCGTCAGGAAAGCTTTCAGTACCCGTGTTTCAATGTTTCTGCGGGTTTGCCTACGACAGTTTGAACACAGCAACATTGATTTATTTGTTGCCGCTCGTGTTGTTGCGGGAACTGTTTTGGTCACCCGTATATCCCTACATGCCTATTTCGCTATACACGTAAACTTGAAATACTGAAGCCCAAAGCCTACAAATAGGGGACCCCAATATAGACCCACCTGACAACATTATAATCCTGATTATAAAAACCACCAAAACGGTACCCCTACTTTTGGTAAACACTAATCCCTAAACCTTCTAAAACCCCTATGAGACCCTTATAAATCCTTGAAAAGGTACCCCTAATCTGGGGGAACCCCCCCCCTCAACCCCCAAGTCTTGTGGGCTGCAAGGCGAGGGCGTTCTCGCCATACTGAGTACGGTGGCCCCTGAGGAGGAGGACTGTCAGGGTTTAGGGGTTTGTAGGGTTTAGAGTGTATGGCTTTGGACTCCAAATGCTTTAACTCATAACCAGGCTGTGACATATCTCCCCTACAAGTTGCTATTAGATATACATAACGTCAACACTAGTCCTTCCTACAGTGCCTACCTAGGTGTTCACAGGTACTTGGATCAGCTTACACAGGGAAGCCTGAGCCCTAAATTGCAGCATGGAACTTTTTTTGAGCCTTAGAGGTATTATGTAGGAGTATATAGGTGATGTATGTGATTTAAGATCAAGGGTCTACTCCTCAGAGTAGAATATGGTGGAAGCCTTCCCTCGGATAACGGAAAAAAAGAAGCCCTGCGTTTCTTAAGCCCTGAAATGGGCTCCACGTTAGCGATCTGGATCAGCCTTGGAAGCCGAGGCTCCAAACAGAAACCTCTGAGGGAGACAACACGTAGTATACTACAGGGGTCGAAACTCTTACCAATATATATATATATATATATATTCCTCGTTAAATAGATAGAATATAGGGTATATGGGGATCTTATTATCATAAACCCAAAGCCATGTTCTATCTACTTTAGGGGGACTATAGGGCCTAGGTTCCTTGTGGAACTATGTATAGGGCATCTCAAATAGCCCATAAGATCATATTGGAAATTAAGCAGGCCCTTTCAGTAGGTGTAGTTCCAGTTTGGTATCGTGTTCAAAGGGGTTCAGGGTTTGTAGTCCAAGCATGGTTTAGGGTAGAGAGCTCATAAGGATGTGGGGTTGACCCAGATTAAGAATCCAATTTAGCCCTATGCAGTCCTCATTAGCTCCAGGAAATGGCGTTGCAATCCTTGGCGTCACGGAATTTCTTGGGGTTGCTATAGGTAACACAAAGTACAGGCGGTGATTTTCAAAGAAGGGTGAAGGGATGAGATAAGTTTTACATGCAGGAGTTATACAGCCAAGTGTGGTTCCAGAACACCTTGAGCGCTGCGCTGTTGGGAGCCACCCGGCTGGCACCGGTTTAGGGTTCAGTGTTTAGGGGTTTAGGGTCTAACTAAGGGGNNAACTAAGGGGTTTAGGGTTCAGGGTGCTGGAATGATCAGCAACAGTCTTGAAAGGTAAGCTTGAACTGCAGCTTCATCCCCTCATAGCCTTGTCTACCCCTTTTTTCCAATACTTTGCCTAACAAAAGCGTTTCTCGAATCAGGGCTCATCTGCTTGTGGAGATTTAGCATTCTTCGTCGGATCACTTGTTCATGAGCAATTGTTCGATGTCTTTGTCAGTAGCACAGACTCCGGAACCTGCCATTCAAACTGGGGCCATCGAATGGTAGTTTCCAATAATAGGGTGAGCCCAATATAGACACCGATATCTTATAATCCTTCTTATGGGACCCCCNNCCCCCCCCCGGCCCCCCCCCCCCACCCCGAAAAAAAAAATGGTGGAAACATGCGACTCTGTCAAGTATCTTTAACAAGCCAACACCAAAACAGCCTGTGCATTGATTTGCTGAGATCACTTGTCCTACGTATGTGATGGCCTACTTGGCATGCAGATTTCGTGGTCATTTCCTGAAGAAGTACCTTGACGTCGTTTTTGAAGGCATATTGTCACGCCCTCAGTCAACCGTGGAGTGTTACCCGCTCGGCAGCTGAGATGGTGACAATTCTGGCCATCATTGTCACGGATGCCAGTATCGTGATCGGACTGGTTGGTGCCATTTGCGGATCTGCCATCATCTACGTGATCCCGCCGCTCTGCTGTTTGAGTTGGCTAGGAATCAAAGCCTTCATGTGTGAGAAGCTTTAGGGGGACCTACTCAAGCTGGGATGACGTTTCTGGGATCGTTGGGATGTTTTCCACACATCGTAACAGAATCGGCAGCCCGTGGGAGCGGCTATGACGCTTATAGGTAAAGGTCAGTTGTAGTTTCTGCCACCGGGACTGTGCTCCAACGGTACGGTGTGCCACGGTCTCCAGAGTAAGGGCTAGGAAATCGCTGTAGCTGCGCAATGATGGAACAACTGCTCCAGGAACCTACCCATATACTTGTGACTCGTGTTTCAGAGTACTTTCCTGATACTGAAGCTGAAGACGATGATGATGATGATGATGATGATGATGCTGATGCTGATGCTGATGATTATTATGATTATGATTTTTATAGGACAGCCAAAATTCCAAAGCATTCCCGAACACCGGGCTCTATCTGCGGCTCTGGACACGTAGCCAAATTTTCCACGCCTGGCACCGCAGATGTTTGGGTGCTTGGGAATGACGAGGAAGTCGATGACCTTTCATCCGTAAGAGTCATAGTAATTGTAAGAAGTGTTCAATAATGTTCACAATAATAGTGACAATAGTCGCAGTAACAATAGTAGTGAAAGGTTTTGGGCTATTTAGGAGGTTTCTTCCGGACAAGGAACCACGGTTCCCGCATTCCGTAGCCCATGCGAAGCCATGAGACTAGGGATCTTTGAGCTTTGCACTGGTGAGCCACCTCTAACTGCTTGACCTACCGGTGCCTAAGGGGGGTTTGGGGAGTGAATATAGGTACCGTTCTAAAGGTATATATGGGGATTATATAGGAATTATCATGGGGATCCACCCCCCCCCCACTCTCCCTTAAGCACCAGCGGGTTTATCATCTGTTTGGAAGGTGCTTCCTCTTTGATGCCGCTACATCCAAGTTCCTGAGTCCCGCGCTCAGGGGTTCCTCTGTAGGAGAGACCATTGTCCGAGTCTCTTATTCAGTGCGTGTCTTTATTTCTGCGGGCGGATATGGAGGAGAATGTGACTGCATTCTGAAGCAGACTGCTGTTTCTTGCAGGGGCCTAGGGCCTAAGGAGGGTCTTAGGATTCAGCGCCCTCTCTTCATAACATGGTAAGTGCGGTTTAAACTTTGAGGAGAGGTGCTTCTTGTGGGAGAGGCGGCTGGTACAGCGAGCGGGCCGCAGTCCATGTCTAGCCAGGTTGCCAGCAGGTCCAGAGTCCAGTAGTTGACAAAGACCTACACCAAGGCAAACTTTCTGTTTTCTTGAGCCTAAACACTGTCAGGTCAGGGGGACGAGCTGTCCTACCCACTGGCTGCCCGACTGAGAATTTATGCAGTCAAAGCCGTAGTCGGGTGCAGGGTTCAGTCACGCCTTCGGCCTGAAGGGCCAGTATAGGGGTTTGGGCCTGCTGTAATCCCTAGACCGCTGATTTGAGGCCGCGCCTGCTTCTTGTTTAGAGTCCAGGGCTTGCGAGTACTATCCCCTCGCTGTTTGCGATGGGAACGGCAGGCTCCCATCCGTAATCGTAAGTACCCTTCTTTTTTTCCTGCCAAGTATAGCTCAGGAGATCTACCTCGTGCGCGGGATCGGTTTTTTTGGAGTCTTCACCATGTACCTGGCTGCACAAAGAACCCTCAAACAAAGAGAAGACATAGCAAGGATGTCTAGGGGTTCAGGGTTCTACCTTCCACAAAAACGCAAAGAAGGGCCCTTGGTTGACTATTCAGCCTTAACTTGAGAGAGTGCGGATAGTCGTGCTTAGCTGGTCTTGTTGAGGGGGCTGAACTGGCGTCTTGCTCATATATGAGTTCATACACACGGTAAGGTAAAGGCACCATGGCAGACGTTTACTTGTGTGAAGAATATATCTGGGCTCTTAATGAACAACATGTTTCCTTTTTATACCTTTGCCCAATACATCTTCAAACATGGCCATTTTTTATAGTATTTCAACAAGAGCCCAGATGCCAGGTCAGCTGAGCCGGACTTTTCGGACAGACTTTGACAGTCTCGTGATGATGCGATGTGATAAGCACCGGTGCGTGATTAGCTGAATCCGGCCTCTTACACACTTGTTGGCCCCATTTCCGCTGACATAATCTTGTGTTCATGTGAACGCAAAAGGCACCATGCCCCCTTTCAAAAGAAAGCCTCATCCCTCAATCATGAATTCCGTGAGCGTCTGCGGGTCTGTCAAGCCTTAAACGGTCTCTAGGTTTGTGGTGGTCCTGTAGTTTCAACATCTGACGCCTGCAAGAACACTTGGACTTGGTCAAATTCCGCGCTTTGTCTCAGGATTGCTGGCTCCGTGGCGACGATCTGTCTGTGAAGCAGCAGCGGCACATGGGGGGAGTTTCTTGCGGGGTGAAGTGCGGGCTTTAAGGGTTGTGGCTCAGGTGTTGTGTAGGGTGCTAAATGTCATACCAGTGAGAGCTTAAGATTTTTGGACCTTCTGGATTTCAACAGGATGCGGGAACAGGGTGGGCTTGCCAATCTCTCACAGAGAACCACTTAAAGTGTAAATGCTGCTAAGCCAGGTTGAGGTCCTGCAGATTAGCAGTTTCCACGCGTGCCCACTTTGCTAAGCAAGACTGAGATTGCGTCATGTCTGTCTAGCACCAAGTATCAGGTTGACTCAACGTTCTGGAGTCTTGAGGGGCCCAACTGACTCATGTCCGCGAGTCTTCCCAGTGGCTCTTAGTACCACTCGCAAGCCATGCAGAGATGTGGAGAGCTTTGCCACAGCTGTTGTTTGCGCATGACTCCAGATGCTGGGGCCCCTTATACTCTTCATTCAGAAAGAAGAACGCCCGTGTCAGAAGGATGCCCAGAAAGGCCCCACCATGCAAAGCATGCAGCCGTGCATGTCCTTGTTGTGCTCAAGCAGACATCAGGATTTCATGTGCTTGGTCCTTCTGTAGCACGTTCTGGAAGTCCCCAATACCTGAGACAGAAGATGATCGTTGGTTGACCATCAGGGCTATTGGAGGCAAAGCCCCCCCTCCCCCCCCTTTCCACAAATCGTCACTTGTTTCTATCCACACATCATTACACATACATCTATCCAGAGTCCTTCTCAAGAAATCTTTCTGCAAACCCCTGAATAGAGCGTAAGGACCAATGCCCTTCATGGAAGGTTGCCATACTTATTTTTGGGGGTACCCTAAATATTCTGGACCGAGAGTTTGACGTACCCACAAAGAAGGGACACCATAGTTTCAACAATCTACCGGAGTAAACCTGCAGGCAAGGAGCTCCGCCGTCGCCAAGGCTGCCGCATGTCGAAATCTTCGGCTCCAAGAGTGCTGACTCAACCAGAGCAATAGCTGCTCACCCCGCTGTTAATGTTTGCCTCCCGCAGCACCGTTGCACTGAATATAAGGGTTGCAAAGTCCGGCATATTCTACTTCAACACGTTACATGCTGATTGTTTATCTGCTGGATGGTTGGAGAGCAGGCTTGTGGTGCTGCATGAGGTTGGAGAACGATACGTTAGCCGCATGTCTAGAAGAAGGGCAAACATGATAGAGGAACGCATGGATTGTGGGACGGTTATGGGCACTACCTATATTTTCTACTGGAGCACAAGTCGTTCCCGCAGCCATGCGCAAAGTCTCCTTGCCTTTTCATATGGCAGTCTTTCTTGTGCTCGTATCCCGCCAACCATGGGGGATGTAGAAGGCAAAGCAGCCGTGCTGGAAAACACAAGGGGTGGAAAGCATTCTCGACCCCTGTGGGAGTACAGACAAATAGCATGCTGTGAGAACGCTAAGCCCCAAACCGGGTTTTAAGATTCCTGTCTGCTGAAGTTCGAGCTCATGTACAACATGCTTTCCGCCCTTCATGCTTCCTGAGCAGCACAGCAACCACAAGTGTCGCGCAACGCCGCCTGCACATTGGGCTTAATTGCAGATCCTCAACTGCGGTCCGGTCCTGGCATTCAGATGCACATGCTCTCTACATGATCCTCTCAGAATTGATTCTCTGTGATTTCTCATGCTGAGGTCCAAAAGTGAACCTTGTTTATTTTCTACTCTGAAGTTTTGGAAACGTTAAGATTTGTACAAGTCTGTCTCGAGCTTGTTTCGAAGAATGTGCTACTAGCCAACTTAGAGTGCCCTTCGAAAGAAGCTGCGGCGCGCGTGCCGCGGTTTATGTGAGGTAGACGACTGCTGCTGCTTTCAGCACATCTTTGCCTGAGCACACTGGCCAACCAACGCGGCAAAAATGCATCAAGAACTGCGCGAAAGCATCATTTACCGGTACTTATCAGTGTCAAAGCAGCATAGGCAGATCTAGCGGAATCTAGCGTTTTGACTGCGGTTGCAATGGTATGCATCAACGAAGGGCTCTGGCTTGCTATGGGACATCCGCTGCGTCCCACAGCGCAACGCAAATTTGATAGCTTTATAGGTTTCAGCACGCAACTTAGGGTTCAAAAGGAAGGCCTGGCAATGGTGACATGGGGTCAAGCACCCCTTATCCTTTAGACTTTTTTGGTTCTGGGTTCCTTTTTACAGTTAGCCCAAAAGGAAGATGGGTACCCTTATTGTAACGGGGTTGCTGGAGCACCATTTCCCTAAGCCCTAAACCCATGGACTCAAGGTGCTGGCTTGGAGCTGTAGACCTCTTAGGTGACTGGACTCCTTAAACCCTAAACCTCACTGATACCATTGTTGCATCTTTATTCTTATTACCTATACTACTAATAATCATAATATTAACAAGGATGACCCTAAGCTGCTTCTCAGAGCTCTTTTTTGTTTTGCTTCGGCGGATGGCTCCATGGGTAGAGGCGGCTTTGCGCTGCTCCTCGGCATGCCTCTTAATGGACATATGAGCTACTGTCAGCATTAGCCTTGACCCCTAAGTGGACATAGGGGTCCTTCTTGTAGTAGTATAGTCCTTCATATAGTCCCTAAAAAGGAACCCTTTTTATCATATGCTGCAGGAAATAGTGGCTGCTCATGTACGGTGCCTTTAAAGAAGTTATATAGGAATGCTAGAGGGCTTCAAGGATCAGGGATGATGTGGGGTATCGGGGAATATTACCCTCATTGCCAACACAGGAGAGTCAATGGATAACACATGGAGAATGAAATGGAGACTGAGATTATGTAGCTCTCTATAGGATATTCATGTACCATGATCATTCCACCATGATCATTCCATATTGATGCCGTCCAACTGTCTTCTTTAGCCGCAGTCAAAAAGCCGCAAAACGTAACCCACATGTTAATTGTTCAGATTCCTGCCTTAGCTGAATCCCTTGAACGTTCTCCTCAGGAACACTGGCGCGTATCGAGAGCTTAAGAGCGCGAGAGGGAAGCTTGCCTGTCCAGTGAGCAAGCTTTAATTTCTTGGTGGTATATAAAGCCGCATACCAACAGGTCCCTGAATCCTAAACCTGAACCCCAAAATCAAGAGCCCTGCACTACACCTTAAATCGTTAGCACTCCTTGCCAAAGCTTAACTTCAATCCCTAACTCTGGAACAATGTCTGCAGTGCAAAGCGTGCTGAAACACTGGGGCAACTAAGGAAGGGCGGCAAGGGAGCCAAGGGCGGAAAAGCTGGCAAGGCCAAGCCAGCTTGGATGGCATGGTAGTCAACGGTTATATAGGCTTGTATAGGGGCTATGCATGAGATACCTCGGGAATGCCCTATAATGCCCCCCAAGCCATGGACAACATCATGTCAAACACGCATGGAAAGATCCAAAGGAATGTGGGAGGATTGTACGGGTAGTGCAGGGATTGTAATGCAGGACCCTAATTATTTACTTTCAACTGGCATTGGGGGGCAGCTACTGCTGTTTGTCTACAAGGATTAGAAGGGGCTGTGAGAATATCGGCACGCATTGAGGTTTGTGCATTATCTGGACCCTAACTCACCTTTTCAAGTGTATGCCCTCTGTCGTTATATTCCGACAAATGTGGCTCCATAGGGTTTCAGGTAAGATTCGGGTGTGAGCATACTTGGGTTCAAGGCGCTTTAGGATGAAAAGCAGTTTGGGCAGCAAGGGCTACGTATCATGTATTTATTGATTTGGGATTTATAGGGCTTAGGATGTAGCATGCTGAGGGTGTGGGGTTTCGGAAGTCGGTACATGCACACAATCTTCAGGGCTTTGGTTGCATGATTTGGGGCTTCATGTGGCAGCTTTCGTGTTCAGGGTCTGCGGTTAAGGAATGAAGGTTCAGGGTTCATGTGCATACACCAAGATCCCATACTCCTGATTATCAGTATCAGCTTTAAGGAGACACCCAAAACGAAATTGCCGTTTTCTGGAAAGTCTCACAGCCATTGAGTAGTTTCCACTTTATTCTCCATTATTCCCATAAAACCCATATGTATATAATATAAATATATATGTACACACCCTATTATACTATATAGTGTCTTCAAGCATGCATGGCTGGTTTTGCTCCCTGGCTCCTGCTTTGTTTTCACGAGCTTGGCAAAGTAATCCTCAAAGTTGGGGTGCCAGGGGTTATATCATGGTATATATTGGGGTTATATAGGGATAGTGGAAAAGAAAATGAAAACTATAGGGCTTCTAGGGTATATATAGGGCTTATGTACAGATAGACCCCAAAAGTTTCTCTGCACAAAAGTTCTGAACTCTACACCCTAAGGCTTCAGGTTCAGGATAGTAGCTTTCAGATAGCTCGACATGCTCGTGTGTTCCCCAGAGAAAGATATCCAACTTCTACAACAGCCCCAAATAGCGCCAAGTAGCCCAGTGTAGACGGTCTCATAGTCTAGCGATTCTAACGGGCTGGTTGCAGATCCCCTCTTGGAGTCCCTACAGAAATGGGAGTTTCCCAGAATTGGAGGGAACCTTCTTGGTGTCCCCAATCGGGGTACTTCTATTTTGGGAAATGTCCAAATGATCCAAGTGTTCACATTTCTGTGTCAATTCCTCATGCCGGCTCTAGCAAAGTGATGACATGGCGTAGACACAAGAAGCAAGCTTCCCGATGGCTCTCCTAGTGCAGGACCCCACCCTAAACCCTAAACCCTAAGCCCAACCATCGCGTCCTAGCTTTTGGGGTTGGCTAACCAAAATCCCCTGGCTACCCGGTAAAGACGCTCAAACAGGAAGTTGCCTGAGGCTTCTTAAGAGCACAAGTTCCAGCCTCCACCCTGGAAGTCACAGCCGCAAGTCCAATAGCCAAGTTCTGCGCATGGCATGCCTGGCGCAATGAAACAGTTTATACTCCGTGTGATTTCTTGAGAGCCTGCTTTCAGAAACTCGCTCCGCGATTCATCCTTACATACCCCTTGGCTTTGAAGCCACACAAGATGCCATGCCCAAGTCAAGAAGACACCATCCGCAGGGCAAGGGCAAGTCCAAAGGCAAGATTGCACTGTGGAAGAAAGTGCTGAAGAAAAAGGCGCAGAAGGCCTGGGAATGTAATTGGAGACTCCTGAGCAATTAGTTTGAAGGAAGGGGGTCATCGTGCATTGATATTATAGAACCTATATCCATGTGTGTATATCTGTAACGAGGGCTAAACGGATGGACATGAGTATATCGGGTTATTCTTTTTCGAAATATGCCGCTGAAGAGGTGGAATTCAGTGCGCTAGCCCTTTGCAAAGGGCGCGGGTGAATCCGAAGATGCACACGTCGCAGGGCTTCTTTAAGACCCCAGGGCGTCCGTAGCACCTACCCAGGACTGCCCAAGACCCATAATCATGGCCTGTGACCCAAACGAAGAAGTATGAAAGAAATTTTCAGTACTTGTACTCAGCAGGTTTAGGTAGACGCATAAGAGTGGCGTTTAGCCCAACATACTGAAGGCTTTCATTATGGGTATTTGGGTGCCCTTATCCCTTCCTGGCAAGCATGGAAGATCCATGCGAAAGCTTATATACCCTTAGGACGCTTCCCTCAAGGTTAGGGGACACGAGAAGCATATTCTGTTCGCAGTGCGAAAGTTTGACTTTTCCTCTATTTTAACCTAGTCCGGGAACCCTGAGTCCAGAAAATATGAAGCCTTGGAGCAACTTAGGCCGAAGCCAAGAAAGATGTCTCTCAGCTGCTTCTTTTATTTCGTTTAGCGTTTCATTCAGGGGGGGGGGGGTCAAAAAACTAGGGGCCGTTCTTGGGCTTGCAAGAGGTGATGTCTCTTGATCAGAGGGAAGCTTGCCCCAGCATCCTCTAAAGTGCCTGCTAGCAGCATCTTCAAGGCTCAGGGTTTAGGGTTTAGGGCTGAGAGTATCGGCCCAATCCTGATTGCTCTAGACAGAGTCTACACTGCTCTTCTGCTACATTTCTCTTCCAGTAGATTGTAAAACCGTGAGAGACACGGGAGTGTTGGGAAAAATGCGACGATATTAAACGGCTTCCCATCCATTTCTGAAGGCTCATTCTGAGAAGCTATATTCCCTCAGACGCTATACCGCATACTTCATCCTATGGGTCCCAAAAGAAATGCATGTTTTTGACTACTTGCTTTTCTCCTGTCCAGAGGATTCTTGCCATGTAAGGCCCCGAAGCAAGCCTCGGATGAGGAGGTCGATGCCCAGGCTCCAAGCGCATGTAAGGGCCTACAGTAACATACTAGAGTATTCAAGACTGACATGCAGGAAATTGCAGGAAATGACTGGGCGGGGGGGCTATGTAGGGAAGATGCGTAGGCGCCTAAACATTTAAGATAGGGTTTTGTGGTTATATTCTTCTGGCAACAAGTCCGTGTCATGAAAGGACCAAGGGACCAGGCTCCTATGTGTATGTTCCTTCCTAGGCCCTAGACGGCTACTTTGTGATCCTCAAAAAGCTCACAACAGTTCTGGGCACAACATGGATGTGCCCCAGCCGCCCTGCAAGCCCTTTTTGGGGGAACTCTTCAGCCGGAACCATCTGAAACATAGAAATTCAGTGCTTAGACCCTAACACACCCTAAGGGTCCAAGGACCCAAATAATAGGGTTTTAGGGCCCAAATACCATTAGTGTTATAGTGTTTGGGCCTTAACACCTTATTATTTGGGTCCTTGGACCCTTAGGGACAGTATTGCCAGGATGTCTTCTGGAGGCCGACGTGGGATACACTTGGCCCTCTTCAGGTGCCTCCAGGGTTTGTCGCAAGAGAAGGTAGAATACGGTGGATAGTAAAACTCCTGCTTGACCGTAAGTATCTAATACTTTGGGAAGTGTGATATGGGACTTATGGTGCTCTAGTATAGTAAGGTCCTAAACCCTAAACCCTAAACCCTAAATCAATAGTAGTAACCTCACACAGGAGGTGAGGGAGAAGGACGACATGAATCGCTTGGGTCGGAAACGCGAGAAGGCACCGACCTTTCTTAGAAATGAGCTATAGTCTACACTCCTTCAAGGAGGAGACATAGGGAATTATATAGGGGAGTACTACAGGGGTTATTAAGGGGGATAGTAGGAGTTGAGACTACAGCTCAAATGGTTTGGAGTGTATAACTGTTTCTCGGGGGCGTGCAGTTTCATCATGGGGCTTACGTGTTTCTTGGCTCTTGATGTTTCTTTGCAAAGGCTTGCCCCCAAGTTCCTCCTTGTTGACGCTTGATCTCTTTGCAGCTTGGTGGTTTTCTGTGGGATTTCATCATCTACCTTGAGGTGAGGAGTGGGATAAACCCTCTGTGAAGAGGCATCACTACAGCCTTCCTAGAACAGCTATCGTCGTTTTCTCAAGGTATTCTTCAGGGCTAAGATTAGGAATGTAGGGCCAACCTACAACCAGTAGAATCAACATCAATCTTGCTCTTTCATCGCTCAGAGCCTGGCGCCTCCCCATGGCCCTGAAACCCCAAATCCTAGAACCTAAACCCCAAACCCTTAGCTTCAAACGCTATATGGGTGGTTGTCAAATTTATGATCCCTTTTTGGATCCCTATTATAATACGGCACCTACTATGTAGGGTACCCAAAAAGGGACCATAATTTTGACAACGCCCCATATCCCAAATCCTAAGCCGTAAGCCCTCGCCGCAGACGGGCAAAGATGATTTCGGATTTGGCGCGCCTGAGCTTCAAGCGGAGTGCTCTTTGTGCGGTCCTTCTGCTGGAGCCACAAGGCACCTCTTAGAATGCCTCGGGTTTAGGGTTTAGGGTATAGTAGGCCTGTTCTTCCAGGTACAGGTTCCGGAAACGGCCACACTTGCTCGAAGGATGAAACCCGAACCCGCCAAATCTTGCAACTCACAGCGGCACTGCTGGTTGAGCACAGGGTCGCACGCAATGTTGGGCTTGCAATTTCGATCAATGCTGCACAGACGCACGTCATTCAGCAGGGTCTACACTTAATGTGGCAGCAGCCTCAATGACATGGTCTTGCCAAGCAACCATCTCCGTTACTGATGTAGGAATACTAGTACGCAAGCTGCAGTACTAAACTTCGCATTGGTATGCTTTACGCTTATGACGAATCACCTATGGCACTATGGTTCTTGCTGTGATGATGCGTTTCATTATGTCAACATGGTTCTTCCCCAGCGGGCGGTAATATTGTACTTTGTCGAAAACCTGTAGCAGTAAAGAGAAAAATCCTGTCAGTAAGAGGGTCACTGTTGGCGTCACCGATGACTTTCAGGGGTTCAGTTGCTTCTCTTTGAAATTCCTGCTGCTACCATTGCCATTATTATTGCTGATGCTGATGCTAGTACTGTTGCTAGTACTACAAATGTTTTCACAGTACTACGGACTACGAGTACCGTTACTATGATTCGCGCTTCTACCAATTATTTCTTCTTCTACTACTCTTACTACTATGACTACTCCTACTCCTACTACTCCTCCGACTACTACTACTACTAC